TGTTTTCATGTAAATCAAATAATTTAACTATTAAACGCATAACAAGGTTTTAACCATAAAACAATAATATGATGCCTCTATTATGATACCATAATAAAGGCATCATACTTTTTACTACTTAATACTTTAGATTTTAATTACTTTATGCTTAAAGATTTTACCTCTTTTACAAAGAACAGATTTATAGCAGATATTTGTTTCATCTCAATAATTTATGTAAGCCCATAAACAATCCTACAATAAATTCAAAAACAACATAAAGTCTGTTAAATCACATTGATTTTAATATTTTCCATGTTTAAGTCATATTTAGATGAGTCTAAAAATATATTTGCCTATAGAGAGACCCATTATATGTAACTTAAATAAAAAATAAAAGGAAGCTCATATGTCCCAAATTTCCAAATAAAACACAAAGCTGATGATGAAACCTCGGTGTCCTTGATTTTAGATTATTGGCCTGAATTCAGATGACAATAATTACCAAGACAATATTTTAAATAACGTTTAAATAAAAGAAATAAAAGTTATATTGTAGATATATATATATATATATATATATATATGTATTGTCAGTTGTAGATCTCGTGCTGCATTTGATGCTTTGTTGATGCTTGTATGTTGTTTCTCAAATGTAAGTCATTTTGGATAAAAGCATCTGCAAAATGAGTAAATGGAACTGACCTGATCAAATCATGTCACAGACAGAAAGCTGGTCTGGACACAAACTGAAGCTGATCAAAGTTATTTCAGTAAGTCAGGTCTCTGTACAGCAGAGGGGAGAAACAGGACTTTCTGCTGCTGTTAAATATGACATTTGGTGGAAATAGAAAGTCTTTTCCAGCAGATAATTTTACTCTGATGAACAGCTGATTTCTGACTCATGGTGTCAGGAACAATTCTTGTGCAATAACCCAGAAACTCTGCCTCTAATCAGCCACCTGTTTACTGGCTAACACTTATTATTTATTCACCATTCTCTACTTCAGTGCTGTTCATACTGTTGTTATATTGTAGATACTGGATACCAAATCCCCCTACCTCAAGTCATTACTCCTGCACAAAATACTTATTTATTCCTGCATCCTTTGCACTGGGCTCACTGCACTATGTCTATATTGTTTTTGTTCATAATGTGTATATTTGTGTTGTCTACACTGAAGTCTGTGTATGATTTTATTTTTATTATTGGGATTTTGTATTTTTGTATGAGTAAGCACATCGTGAGCAATCCAGAGTCAAATTCCTCGTATGCGTTCACATAACTGGCAATAAAGCTGATTCTGATTCAATCTGTGACAGGAGTCCATCCAACCGTGTGTTTACCGCCACAGAAAACGTCTCTGATTAAAACTAAATTAATCTCATTATTGCAGCGATTTCAATTTTATTCTATCCCTACACGTCTCTGCTTACTGGGAAACCACTGTCACATTTAATACAAATTCTTTTTAGTCATTTTTAGAGACGAAATGTGAAGAAAACTCGCCACGAGTTGTACAAAGTGATGGTGTGTTGGAGAGGTTTGAAGCATCCTGGGATCAAATGAATGAGTCCTGGTCGCCAAACACGAACTCAGTCTGAAGTGAAGAACTTTTTCTCACTCATAAAATTACATTTATGGTCTAAAACGTTCGTCTTATGTGTATTTTATCGTCAAAATGTGGAAGAGAAAACACAAGTGTCGCCACATTTGAGGCGGGCGGCGGAGCGGCTGCGTGTGTTGCCTCTCCACGGTTCTCATGTGCTTTATAAGTCCCGCCTCCTCTCAGCTCGGACACCTTCAGACAAACACAGCAGACAGAGACGCAGAGATGGCGGAAGAAGCTCCAGCAGCGGCCCCGGTCAAAGTCCCGGCTAAAGCCCCGAAGAAGAAGGCGGCTCCCGTCCCAAGAAGGAGGGCCCGACCCTCCCGAAGCTCATCATCAGCGCCGTGGCTGAGTCCAAGGAGCGCAAGGGGATCTCGCTGGCGGCCATTAAGAAGGTTCTGGCGGCAAAAGGCGTCGATGTGACCAAAGCCAACAAACGCATCAACACCGCCGTGACTAAGCTGGTGACCGGAGGAACCCTGGGACAAACTAAAGGGACCGGGGCCTCCGGCTCCTTCAAGCTCGCCAAGAAGGAGCCCAAAGCCGCCAAACCTGTCAAGAAAGCGGCGCCGAAGAAGAAAGCTCCCGTTAAAGCCAAGAAGCCCGCAGCCGCCGCCAAGAAAGTTACAGCGGCCAAGAAACCGGCAGCTAAGAAGCCAGCGGCCAAGAAACCGGCAGCGGCAGCAGCGGCCAAGAAGTCCCCGAAGAAGAAGGCACCGGCGAAGAAAGCCGTGAAAAAGCCGCTAGCGAAGAAGAGTCCCAAGAAGACCCCCGTTAAAAAGCTCAAGGCGGCCAAGAAGCCCGCTGCCAAGAAAGCTCCGGTAAAGAAAACTGCAGCCAAGAAGACCAAGAAGTGAAGCGGCTCTTTAATCCAGCACTCAGTGCACCAAAGGTTCTTTTAAGAACCACCACAGCTTCACTAAAGAGGCTTCCTCATTTATTAGTACAACTTCAACACCTTGTTACACAACAAACCCACTCTGAGCTGCAATTAGACAACACAACTATACTTATACCATATTATACATCCATGTGTTATTAGTATCAGATGGTATAATACTCTACATCAACTTTTATATTGGGAGTAAAATGCCTAATAAATCTACTCTAGTGAACTAAACAGAACTGTCATCACCATCAAAGCTTTATTTATTTAAATTTATTTATCAAACTCTGCAGTCAGATTGAAATTTTTCACCCAAACTTTAATGAGTAATTATACACGGAGTATGTGTTCCACACATTTTTTTATTTTTTTTCCAACATACAGGTAATTTCTCAAACAGGTATTTGATGTGTGGCAGCAAGTGACCTTTCTCTTTTATCAAACATTTTTGTTCCAAGATAAGACACCAAGGAGAGTTTGTTAACATCCATCCTCTATGTGCACAATTACAATAGCTGATTGTTGGTTGTATTGAGTACTTCAGTATTAAAATTATAGTTTTAATACCATCATTTATTTTAATTTGTACTAAAGTGGTTTGATCCGTTTCACCCTGTATGTTCAGTGGAATTTAAATCAGACCAGGGTTCAATTCCCCACTGTGACACATCAACCAATGAGTCCCTGAGTAAAACACTTAACCCGTAATTGTTCTAGAGGAGTGCGTCCTCTGACATATGTAGCAATTGTAAGTCTCTTTGGATAAAAAGCGCCAGCTAAATGTACTATGTTCCCTATATATTGATTATACATTTGTTTAAATTGCGGTGTTGTTCTTATAACTTCACACGTTAACTAATTAATAAACCTTCATTTCTGGATAAAAGTATCCAAACTTTGAGTGATAAATCTCACATGAGCCACATATCAAAGGCAGTTTTACTGTAGTTGGATTGTACTGCCTCTAACTGATTTCCACAAAAATAATTATCCAGGCTATGTTACTTAGCCTAATCTTTAACTAAAGTACTAAAGGAAATGCACTAATTTTGCGAGGTCAGTAGGCTACTTTTAATTTATTAATTTTAGTAAGCTGGACATGTAATTTTACTTAAGTACTGGATTTTACGTGTGATGAAGTATTTATACGTTGTGATATTGACACCTTGGATCTCTACCTCTTCAAACACTCAGTTCCACTTTGCAACATGACTTGTAATAACTATTATTAAACAATGGCGCCATTTAGTGGATGAACTCAGAAACACTGTTAATGTAGGACCTTGTATAAAACCTGTATTTGGTTTTAATAGGTTGCCCAAACACACTGAATTATGGACTCTAAATGTTTAACTATTAGACTGAGTGTGTTTTTACATTCATTCTTGGAATATAATGATGGTCTATTGGCCATGACATGGTGCTATATTATTATATTAGAGATTTCAAGGACAACTTCTTTCAATATCAAAAACAGATCAACATCTAGGTGATATGTTTTATTTACCTGGATCTTTTCCCCATATTTGTTGCGTACCTCAAATGACCTGCAGCGCATTAAGCTTGTACGTTTATCTGTAGTCGAGCATTTGATGGTATAAAATTGTGGGTCAAACCTTGATATTGTGAGCAATACAATGTACAGTGAGAAATGAAGTTTGTATCATGTTCAGCTGTGCTGGTTCTGCTAATAAAGGAAAACATTCACTGATCTAAAATAGATGGATGTAGATTTCTATGTACTGAATATAAAACCAAAATAATAAAATGCATTCATAAACAGACATGTCGTCATGTTGCTGGTGGGCTACCTTACACAATAGAGGAAGTAATATGTGACCTCACAAGATAGTCAAAAGGCAATGTTGTCATACTTCATTTATTTATGTTAAATAATAGAATGAATACAAAAATAGAAAAAATCAACACCATAAATATTACTTACAAACCTTCCAGTTATTATACAAGTACAAAAAAATACCTCAGGGCCTCAAAGGTTTCTTGCGGCATCAGTGCGTACGTACAGATGTAACTGATAAAATTAGAATATGGTGGAAGTTAATTTCCATAATTTAAATAAAAGGAATTCAATGAAACTTATGTTCTAGATAAAATTCACTGAAATATTTCAGACCTTTTGGTTTTAATCTTGTTGATTAAGGTTCACAGCGCACGGGAATTTAAAAATCCATCTTTCAATATTAGAATAAAGGATGTATAAATGAAAACATGTGACCAGAGTCTTCTGAAAGGGCTGGTTGTTCGCTGAGTGCTGTGTAAGATCATGGAAAGTTACTGGATCATTAAATGCCGAGTCAAGTAATCACAAGGAGTGGCCTGAGGCTGGAGTCAAGCTGCTCCTGCACCACAAACAATGTCGTACTCTCAGAAAGAGCCATAACTCAAATCCTTACTGATAGTTACCAGCCACTTTATAGAGAGGAATCAACTGATGAAGTTCAGAAAGCATTAAAAGTAAAGTACGGGTATTTTTTAAATTAAGGAAATAATCTTTAGATGAGGTGTGCGGCCCTTAAAAGGGCCTTTGTGTTTCAGCGGGTCTGGACCGGGTCTAGCCTCCGAAGCCGTACAGGGTGCGGCCCTGCCTCTTCAGAGCGTACACCACGTCCATGGCGGTGACGGTCTTCCTCTTGGCGTGCTCGGTGTAGGTGACGGCGTCGCGGATGACGTTCTCCAGGAAGACCTTGAGCACCCCGCGGGTCTCCTCGTAGATCAGACCGGAGATCCGCTTCACTCCGCCGCGGCGAGCCAGACGGCGGATGGCGGGTTTGGTGATTCCCTGGATGTTATCACGGAGCACTTTACGGTGACGCTTAGCGCCTCCTTTACCGAGTCCCTTTCCTCCTTTGCCTCTTCCGCTCATCTTTCAGCTTTACTGTTGAACGTTGGTTACGTATTGTAACCCCAGATTCTATGAGTATAGGCGTAGCCCTCTAAGAGCTGTCGCTATTGGGTTCATCCCCGCGCGCATGCGCAGTCCTGAAGATTTCTTTCGCGCCCATGTGCCGTGCACGGGCCTCTCTCAGGTCCGCAATTTAGGTATATAATACCGGCGAGACCAGAGATCTGCTCCCAAGAGGTCAGCTTTTTTTCTTCAGCCGACGCTGGTGGGACCAGTCGGGCCCGCAGCTTAGAGGGCTACGCCTATACTCATAGAATCTGGGGTTACAATACGTAACCAACGTTCTATTTCGTATAGGCTTCGCCCTCTAAGAGCTGTCGCTATTGGGATAAGGGCGAAGCCAGATGTAGTCAATGCCCACTGGACCCCCAGCGGTCATAAGCATTAACACACCAGCTCACAGTACCCTAATCACACAATGCATGATAGAGACCAAAATGTAGGTCAGTGTTTCCGTCTGGTCTCGAACCAGGTACCTTCGGCATAGAAGGCGAGCGTCTGATCCATTACGCTACGGAAACTGAGATTCGCAGCCATCCGCATTAGACCAGATAACAGGATGGCTGAACGCATCACTCCCTGCCTCCCACCTGCTGCTGTGAGGAAATGGAACGACAGTTACGCATTGTAACCAGTCCCAACAACGAGCAGAGCAGGCGGGAGGATAGGACAACACACACGCATCCCGGCAACGGGGGGTGTGTGTGCGCACGAGAACGCCCAGAGTACAGGCACACACAGACGCACACTGCGGCTTATGTTGAGGGAACAGTAAGGACGGTTGTTACGCATTGTGGCAGTCCAACTGGAGCGCAACTAAGACAGAAGGAGCCCCAACAGCCCGTGGCAAGAGGAGCCTTACCGGCTCCTTTACAGGGAAGCCTATGTGTGCGTAACGTGTCCCGAGCCAGCAGCGTCGCGCCTGGTCTCCAGAACATTCAGTACCGAGTGCGTTAGAGAAAACCCCGATGCATCGCGTAAATAGAAGCGGATAAAGGGGCAGGGTGAAGCCCATGATGCCGCTGTGCAAATATCCTCCACAGCCATCCCGCTGAACAGCGCTGTGGAGGAGGACACGGCTCTTGTCGAGTGCGCACGGATGCCGGGTGGGGGGTCCTCCCCAGCCGTAACGTACGCCTGAGTGATGGCCTCACACAGCCAATGAGCCAACCGTTGTTTTGACAGAGACTTGCCTCGTGAATGCTCTCTGTAGTGAACAAACAGCTGTTGAGTTTTTCTGAGGGCAGCCGTGCGCTCTACATAATGAGACAACGCGCGCACCGGGCAGAGACGATGAGATGCTTCCTCCGCCTCGTTTCGATGAGGAGGAGGGAAAAAACCTTCCAGGGAAATAATCCGTGACCTGAAGGAGCTAGTTATAACCTTGGGCATGAACGCTGGGTTCGGCCTCAAGGTGGCGGAGCTCCCGTCAGCTCTGATAGCGAGGCAGGATGGAGCGACTGAGAGAGCGCACAGATCGCTCACCCTCTTAGCAGAGGTCAGTGCCAAAAGGAGGGCTGTCTTCAGAGACAGCAGTCTGAGAGAAGTTTGCGGCAGTGGCTCAAAGGGGGGATTGCTCAGAGCGCGCAGCACAAGCGGTAAATCCCACTGTGGCGCCAAGGGGCGCGTGACAGGCCGCTGCCTTCTCACTCCTCTTAAAAAACGCTTAACCAGCGGATGCGCAAAAACCGATCTCTCTCCAAAGCCCTCGTGGCAGGAAGAGATGGCCGCCACGTACGATTTGACTGTGGATAAAGCCAGATTTCTGTCCACCAGCAGCTGGAGGAAGGACAGAACAAGAGATAAGGGACACGAGACGGGGTCCGTGTCTCTTTCCACACACCAGTGCTGAAAAGCGGACCACTTTGCTCTATAAGAAGCAGTAGTGGAGGGAGCCCTAGCGCCTTGGATGGTGCGCACCACATTAGGGGGCAATCCTAATCTTTCAAGGCGCTCCCGTTCAGGGGCCAAGCCCACAAACGCTGACCTATCACTGGGAAGTGTAGGATGGCTCCGTCCAGCTGTGAGAGCGCGTCTCTGCGCCACGGCAGCTGCCACGGTTTCCCCGACAGCAGCTGAATCATCACTGGAAACCATGATGCGCTCGTGCGTTCTGGTGCCACCAGAATCACTGTTAGGAGCTCCTCCTGAATGCGCGCCAGGAGGCGGGGAATCAGAGGAACCGGGGGGAAAGCATAAAGGAGCGTTCTGGGCCACGGGCTGTGTGAGAAGGCGTCCACGCCCAGTGGCGGCTCGTCCCGTGCGTTCAGTGAGAACCACAGTGCGCACTGTGCGTTTTCTCGTGAGGCGAACAGATCTATCTCTGACTCCCCGAATCTGTCCCACAGTTCCTGAGTAAGAGTGGAATTCAGTCTCCACTCGTTCTGAGACGGACCGCCGCGTGACATGAGGTCCGCGGCTCGGTTCTGAACACCGGGAATGTGGAGGGCTCTGATAGAGCGCAGGTTCGCGTGGGCCCACAGCAGCAGGCTCCTGGCTATCTCTAGTAGCCGAGCCGAGCGGACGCCGCCCTGACGGTTTATGTAAGCCGCGGCTGTCATGTTGTCTGTTCTCACCAGCACATGTTTGTCTCTCAGGAGTGGAGCAAAGTGTTTCAGCACTTTCAGCACTGTGGACAGCTCCAGGCAGTTTATGTGGAGAGATGGAGGCTGTGGCCATTTCCCTCCCACCACGTGAGAATGGCACATCCCGCCCCAGCCAATGAGAGACGCGTCCGTGTACACTGTGACATGTGACGTCACTTTCCCGAGGGGGGACCCCGCTGAAAGCACGTGAGGGGATTTCCAGTACGTCAGGTCTGACTGTACTGAGGGGGGAACGGACAGCAGGCGTCTTTTGTGCTTTATGGGATCGAGGCGGAGACGGCCGAACCATCTCTGTATTTTCCTCATGTGGAGGAGACCCAGAGGGACCACCACGTGACTGGCCGACATCATGCCCAGTAGACGCATCACAGACAAAGCCGTTACCACTTTGTGCGGAGCGATGCGTGAAAGCAGAGAGCTGAGAGCTTCCAGCCTGGCTGGAGATAATTTGGCTCTCATGCGGGCTGAGTCCAGATGCACTCCCAGATAGATTATTGACTGGGAGGGGAGAGGAGAGCTCTTCTGCCAGTTTATGGCAAAACCCAGGCGGGACAGGTGTTTCACGAGCTTCATCGTGTGTAGCGCACAGCTCTCCCTGGACGATGCCATGACAATCAAGTCGTCCAGGTAAAACAACACTCTGACGCCCGACCTGCGCAGCGGCTCCAGCGCTGTCTCCACACATTTGGAGAACGTGCGCGGGGCCAGAGAATAGCCGAAAGGCAGGCGGTTGTATTGAAACTGGGCTCCTCTGAAAGAGAAACGCAGGAATTTCCTGTGTCTGGGGATGATGGGGACATGGAAATAAGCGTCCTTTAGGTCGATGGACGCGAACCAATCCCCGGGACGTACACATTCCAATACGTGCCTGACTGAGAGCATGTGGAACGGCCTCCTCATTATGCATTTGTTGAAGGAGGAGAGATCCAGGATCGGCCTCATTCCGCCCGTTTTCTTGGGCACCAGGAAGTAACGGGAGTAAAAGCCCTCGTTCTCCTCGCCCCGCGGGACTTTTGAAATCGCTCCTTTGCTCAGGAGCTCTGTTATTTCTGCCATCAGAGCAGATGTCTCTGACTGCGATGACATGACGGTCTCCAGCACCCCGCTGAAAGGAGGAGGGGGGCTGGCGAATTGGAGAGTGTAACCCTTCTTTATTAATCTCGCCATCCACTCGTTCATGGGCAGATTTTGCCACGCGCAGCAACGCTCTGAAAGCGGGCGAGCAAAAATCTGGGGGGCCTCTGTGGACATTTCTGACAGCCAGAGAAGAGCCCTCTCCGCCGCCGTGTGAGCTGCAGAGCCGCTCGACACGGCCCATGGGAGGGCTGAGTTGAAAGGGCTGCGGCGGCGATAGTGTGAAACACTCGGGCCGCTCATTCTCAGTGTCAGACTCGTGCCACGGTGAAAACCCTCCACTAACACACACTGAAGGGTGAGAGGTGGGGAGGCCGCAGAGAGGCAGGGAGTGCGGGTGGGCTGTTGTGTTTATCTGATGTGAATGTTTTTCACTCATGATAATATGAGAGAGGGACAACAGCGGCTCAACAACTGACGCAGCGTGTGCGTGCGCAGCGGAGCTTGCTTGTGTGTGGGAGACGTGCGTTTCATCAGCTGCAGGAAGCTCAGGAGAGAGAGGGGCAGGCTGACTGTTAGGAACATGCTCTTTATGGACGTTTGGTTGGCTCTGAAAAGAGCCGTTGTGTCCGGCTGTTCCGGGAAGAAAACACACGTCCCCCGCGTCCCGTCAATACCTCCGCTGTTTGCGGGGAGGCTCGGCGGGGGGGTTGGACCAGGAGCAAGCCGCTCGCCTGTTCTTGACTGCAGGGCGGCGCTGTGAAGAGGGAGCAGCGGCCGCCGGGGAGCCCGGGGGGCCTCGGCTGGGGCCGGCGGAGGCGCAGCCGCAGCAGTGGCCGCGGGGCGCCTCGGCCTGGGGCGGGAGTCGCGGCGATCACGCCGGGAGCCCTGTGAGCGCCGTGGGTGTTGAGGTGGCGCTCTGCTCCACGCTGTGTGCCGCTTCACCTTGTCCGCCTCGTCCGAAGCTTGCTGCATGTGTGTGATTGCATCCTGGAGGAGCGGCCCAAACAGCCCATCGGGGCTGATGGGGCCGTCCAGCAACTCCTTCCTGATCTGCTCCGGCAGACATGTGCAGCCACATGTTGCGTTGCAGCACCGTCATCCACGCCATAATCCGGGACTGGCCGACCGCCGCCGCTGTGGCGAGCGTCAAAATGGCGGCCGCGGCTTTCCCAAACTCGCTGGCGAGCTCGGGGGAAAGGGCGTCGGGCTGAGCAGCGACAGATGACATGGACGAGGCCAGCAGCGATATGTTGTTGATGGCGGCTGTTACCTGGGCGG